TATATATATATATATATATATATATATATATATATATATATATATATATATATATATCGCACCTCCACGAGAAGAGTGACACAAGTCAAAATTTTTCGAATTTCGTTTTTTGCGTGGATTATGTCCTAAATACATCGACTTTCCAGCAGAAAAGTTACAAAAGTTGAATTCAAATACTTTCTGTACAAATCCGCTAATCGCAAACTGACATAATGTTTTGTAATAAATCAAAAATAGTGTCACATTTCAGTTGTTTTCCAATCACCGATGAGTGACATTGCAATTTTTTCAGGAAAAGTGACATATCTTTTCTCTTTCTTCTCTCTTAAACATTTTCATATTTTTGACTTGTCACTCTTTTCGCAGAGGTGCGATATTATACACACATATACACACATATACACACATATGCACACATATACATACATATACACACATTTCACTGATATGATACAACTTCCAATAAACTGTCAAAATTTCAACACGAGCTTGCAAATCATATCGTATCGTACAATATATTAACGAACTTATCCAGTGAATATTTTGGCAAGTATTTGCAGGCCGATAAGTCGCTAATATTAGTAATTTACACAAAAAATCTCTCTACGCACTATCAAATTACATATATTTACAGAATTGCATCACAAGATTAGAGAACTTAAAAATATTACATCTTCATATATATTAAAAGCTCGGAGTGCGTCAAGAATTCATTATCATTATTTCTTATAGAAACATCAATAGAAAAATATATCATTGTGCCTTATAAGTTTAGATAACTACGTAGGTGCGTGAAAGAATCAGCGCTGGGAATAATCGCGACCGCGTCATTTACTTTTATCTCATAATGCTTACTTACACAGTACATACAGCCTATACTCTCCATTCTGAGAGAAATGTCCTGCATTTTATACATATTTAACATTTTGTAGTTTCTTTTGTCGCAAATATACTTAAATTTTATCTATTATTGAAATTATTTTAAATAGACTAAACTAGATGTCCCTTGCATGTAGACGTATCTTCGCATATGCAAGGGACGCAAGAATTCACGATCCGAATTCTATCGTGTCTTGTTCGATCGGCTTGTATTCGTAGGTTCCTCGGCCGTCCATATGTAAATAGTACTAAAAACAATATATAGAAAGTCATATAGTGATGTAGAAATGTGAAAAAAATAATATTCAAAAATCACCTAATAAATAAATATATATATAAATATTGGACTACAGTACAATTACTGAACTCGACAAAGGAAACAAATTGACAGTAATACCTCGTGATGTTTCCAGAGAGATCGACGGTGGGAGACCGTAAACAATGTAATATTTTCTTGTTTGCAGTACGTGTACATGGAGTCTTCGACGTCAACGCTGACTGCACTCGTGCATTCGTCCAGAATTGCAAATTGAGGTTTATGATAAAATAACCGAGCCATCTACAAGTAAATATATATGTGTGTATATAAATATAATAAATAAAATTTTAAATGTTAAACTTAAAGACCGAATAAGAAATTAGAAATTGGAAAGTAAAATAAAATTTATGTTAATTAAAAAAAAACGGAAGAAAAAGACAAGGGGCTCACTGCAATACGCTGTTTTTCGCCACCCGATAAGACGTCCATCCAATCGGCCACCACGTCCCAACCTTGTCCCTCACTGTTGGCAAGGTTTTCTCTGTCCAATAGATGAGTCAGTTGCACCAAATCCAAGAATTTCTTAAGATCCTCGTCGTTGGCATTACCGCGCCTCATCATCTCGGCTTTTGTGTGAGGATAGATGATCTGGTCTCTCAACGTGCCCAACGTCATGTAAGGACGTTGCGGTATGTAGAATAATTTACCACGTGGCGGTTTCGTGATAGTTCCAGCCCAAACTGGCCAAAGCTAAATGTTTTAATGTGCAAAATTAACAGCAGGCAAATATAATTTCCTTTTTATCAATGTCGCTTAGCATTGATTGATAATAGCATTTATTCTGTTAGTTTTTTTAATTTAACACTATATCAGTATTCTACAACAAATAAAATAAGAACCGGTAAAAAACTCGATATGATTCAATCAATATTGACAGAATTAAGGTGATTCAAGCGTTAATTTTTTTTAAAGAAATTATTCAAATTTGTATCATTTGTATATACTTAGAGTCTTCAGAAATATAATTTCACAATTTCAATGATATTAACTTATTAATTACTGAAATATTTGACTTCAAAGTAAGAAACTTTTACACAGAGTCTTATGGCAAAAGTCGATGTTACATTTAATTATGTGCTGCAATAAAAAACAAAACACTTCAATTATTAATTATTTGAAATTTGAAGATTTTTATCAAATTATAGCATTTCGGACAATCATAGCTAAAAGTTTTGTGTGTATAAATGACAATTTCTTAATCTATTATCCCATCACAAAAGCATTACTTTTAGCCAACATTGTTACGCTCGAACCACTTTAAATTTTACAGATATTATGAAAAAACAAAACAACAAATAATACATATAAAAATTAATATACGTACTTCGCCGAGAATTCTAAACATAGAGCTCTTGCCGCAACCGTTCGGACCACAAACTAGTACGTTCATTCCCGACTTTACTTCAAACGATAGTTCCTTGATGAGCACGTCTCCATTCGGTGTCACCAAAGGAACACAATCGAACCGTATAATATTGTCGCGCGGAATGATCTTGCCGCCACCGGGATAACCGATCGCCTTGCTCTCAGACACCATCGTTCTCACGTATTTCCCGGCATTCAAATCGTCGAGGACATTCTTGATCTCAGTGACCCGCATTGTAAGCCCCGCCAAGCGGGTAAGTTCTCTGCCGGCCAGCACCAATCGGCCAATCGCTTCGGCCATTTTCACCAGCATTCGGCCGTACGTATAATACGATTTAAATCGATGATCAGGTGTACCGGAGAGTATAGCATGGTCTTTCTGGAAGAAGGGTCTGCTCACCGCATAGAAACCGACTACGGTAGCAAAATCTAAAAAAAAAAAAAACAACATTATAAAATATAATTGAAAGATAAGACAGCGTGTTTTGTTAGTATAATAGTTCCTATGTAAATCGCATCATACATTTTGCAACAAAGTTGTCTAAAACACCCATAAGGACCTTAAATTCCAAAAATTTACGAAGATGAGTTACCTAAAACAAAAAAGAAAAAACATGGTACAAGAACGATAATGCAAAATAATGACATACTAATAGATACAAAAAAATTCAGCTCACTAATTTGTAAAAACTGGCTAACATCGTCAACTTTTCTCTATTATTTCCTGCATAGAACGCTATTTCCTCCGAATTTGTAATTAATCTCGAATTAATATGGCGATACTCTCCTTCCAGTCGTTGTTCTTTGACCGTTAATGTCCCAATAGGCTTTCGAAGGTGAGTCAGAAAAGTACCAGCTACTACTAGATAGGAGAGTAACAAGAATGGTGTCTATAAAAAAAAAAGTACATTCTAATTATTATGTGTACAGAGAAAACAGTAATCATCAATGAATTCAGTGAGATAAATGTTTATATTATACATACCTGTCCACCGAGAGTGGTTGTTAATCTATACACATAAAGACCGATGTCGAATAAAGGTTTCGCTATATTACTATAAAGATCTGTACAGCTATCGCAAAATTTATCAACGTCCGTAGTCAAAAGTTGATCTGGATTCGCGATACGAGTGTCCAGATTGCTCATTTTGTAATAAGTAAAGCCTCTGTGGAAAAAAACAAAATTGTTTTTAAATATTTAACGATTCCTGATAACAAACAATGACGATAACGTTTCTGATAACACTTTCTTTATTATGTATCTCTTAAAAATAAATAAAAATACTTGTAATGAATATTTCCCAATAACTTACTTTAGTCATAAATTATTTAAAGAAAATTATAATACCGCATTAACGACAGGGTCAAGTATAAATTATTTAAGTAGAAATTTACAATAATATTGCATTAGCGACAAAGTTTAATATCCTACAATGTGTTATTTATATAAATTTAATACATCAGAACCTTAACACAAAGGAAAGTTTTGCATCACCTTTGACACTATTGTTTGTAATGTTAATCAACTTATACTGGATGCAATCGCAATCGCAATTGCAACATTATAAATGGAATTCTCATTCATAAAAAGTGTATGTATTATCATATGAATTACTTACTTAAGATACTGATCCATCAAATAACGAGTGATATTTGTACGTAACCTCAATTTTATTTCACTTAGACCATATTTCATTATGTTGGTTACAATCGAAATCTAAATAAATATAATCATATTGAATATTATATATTAGTAAATTATTTCAACTACTAAGCTGAAATTAAACTGCCTACAGCAAAAAAATCTCAGTTATCAAGCTATATGCAATCAACCTTTGACGCTCAACTAAATAATAATATATTCTACTTACTACTGGCAACATCACAACCATAACTGATAAATGTTGCTTAAACAACGACCCATCCATGTTGACGATTGCTCTGGTGACATAGAAGGTTTTATATCAGCAGAATAAAGTTTTATAATATACCACTGATCAAGACCATTACACATACGTTTCTATCAGAGTGCCTTTGTTGATTAACCACAAGTCACACAAGGTCCTGCTGACCAAGGTGATGGCAATTAAGAGAACATAGCCGAATTCCGGTGACAGCACACCGGGAATACCGATTTTGAGCAACGTCCAGAGTTTGCGGAAAAAAACGGCATTCACCTGCGCCTTAGGACTCTTCGGTTTCTCCTGCGAAGAAGCAATCGATGCAATCTTGGCATCCCTCACGTCGATACACTAATTCGTTCTTACCTCCTTGATGACATACTGAATGTCATTGCCGACCGGCCACTGATTTCTGCAAATACATTATTGCTCAGCATAATCGCGCACAAGTATGAATAAACACGAGTCGCACTTGGCACGTAATTTACCTCGACTTCGGCGATCGTCTTCTGCTGCGGTTTTTCAGTATCCATATCAACGTGCTGATCGCCACCGCGCCAGCCAGCGTGCGTCTTGTGGCGAATTTGCTGAGTGTTGGTGCCATTCCGATGATTCGACGTCACGTTTTATGGTATCAGCTGCACCGTCCTGGTGCGACAGTTAAACTATCGCGCGTGGGTTTCCGAGCAAAAGCCAAGCCTGGGCAAGCGCGAGCAACTCGCACTAAACAGGTGGTGGTGGTGGTGATGAAAGTAAAGCTGGTGGGAGACAAAATGAAGCAAGAGGGAAAGAGGGAGAAAAAGAGAGAGAGAGAGAGAAAGACGGAAAGAGAGAGATGACTGAGGTGACGAGCGAGTTGTCTTCGTCATTTGAATCAGCTGCTGCAAGTCAGTAATGTTCTGCGTGGTTGTTCTGTAATTGCATGATAGCACATGATATGCTTATATGTATAATATATATATATATATATATATATATGATCGTAGTGCATTTCATATACGCTACAAAATTCTTACTTAGTCATTTTCTTCGCTGCCTCTCTTTCCACAAATTCGCGCGTGCGAATCGTCTCGCCTGCTCTCTCTGCTTGTAATAAGAGTGCAAAGTACGCGCGTTCCGGACGTTTGCAGCAATCGCTTCGTGTTTAGACAACATGTAATAAGACATTATGCCATAGCAACGTCTCAAATCCTCGCGTAGAATCTTACAATCAAAATTTTGCAATTTTTTAACTTTCTCTGAAAGTTAATCGCGTGATATTAATACGAGAGACACAATTTGCCTTGATATCACGCTATTTTAAATACGAGGAAAAATGTGACATCAAAATAAATCGTTTCTCTTTTAATATCATACGATCTACTTTTAAAAAAAGTTAAAAATAGCAAAATTGGATAAAGTATTCCTCATAATTGCATATATTTGAGTAAATAGGTTTCTATTGAAATCAAGTTAAAATTCAGACATTCATTATCAAGTGATAAATATGGATATATGCGCAGAAACTTAAATATTCGCGAAGACAATTTTATTTAACTTGTAACCTGTAACTTTTAAGGAAAATTATAAAATGCTAACGTATCGTCCGATGTTCTGATTTCAATACAATTGTATTATCAACTTATTGAGCTGTGTGATTCAGCAATATTCACATTATCTTGAGTCATTCAATTTATATTGACAACAAATATTGAATAACAATTTGATATATAGATATATATTTAAACGTTTTTGTAAATCTCTGAATGTATTTATAACTCGAAATACTATCTATTTTTATAGCTGTTTAATGGTTTGAAGAAAAATCGTACTAGGTAACGAACAAGGTTCAAGGATAATAGCAAATAAAGTTTGCGAGATTTTGTATATTTATTACTAGCAAGAACACATGAACCTTGTTCGTTACCTAACAATCCAACTGCTGCTAGAACATGTACAATTTTTTTTCAACTACTGCTTTCTAAGTATTCATAACGTAGAATAACACAAATCGTTTAAAATTTTATATTTTTTACTATTAAGAGCCGGTTGTTTCAACTTTTTGGTAGACTTTGTTTTTCAGTTATCCTCAGCTATCAGTAATACTTACTCGTGATAGTTGGAATAAAATTACTTGTTAACAACCGTTAAACTTATAGATAAACTTTGTCAACAGATAGAACAATTGATATTTATTGATATTTATTTTAGATAACTGAAAGGTTAACTTTTTGAAGGCGTAAATACGTCTTTCGCAATCAAAGGATTAATTAAAACGAAAAAATGGAGCTAATATAAATCTAAAACCTATTACTTTTAACTGCATTTGTTGATACCGTCGACGATTCGATGATTCACTGAACCATGTGTATATTATGATAATAGAAGAAAAAAGAAGTTATGTAAGAAAATAAATATGAATAAAAAAAACAGAGGCATTGGGTCAATTTTTTTGCCATTATACTTTCTAGACTTTCCTACAAATTTCCTGTCGGCCTAGATAGATAATGTTTCGAATGCAGAAAGTAAAAAAATTAAATAGATTTGACTTCGTGCGCAAATTCAATGTCGACAGAATATGTTTAGTTTTGAGCACTACGTACACGAGGATATATAAGACAACGTGATAAAAAATATACGCTTGCAAAATT